TGAAACTAATCAAAACTAAACTGAAACTAAGGATTTTCAAAAAAATAAAAACTAAACTAAACTAGCAAACAATTGGTAAAAACTAATTAAAACTGATATAAAATTGAAAATCTGAAGTCAAAACTAAATAAAAATAAAAACTAATGAAAATTGCAAAACTATTAAAACCCTGGCTTGTTCAGGTGTTTATTGTGTCTTTCAGTTTCCACACAACACTGAGTAGAGATGTGAAAACAGATTATTTTGTTCAGCGTAAATTGGTGCTGTTTGTGGTAAAAGAACGTCTTCGGTATGGTTTGAAGTTTGAAAAAGTTTTGTGTCATGCAGCAGACACGTAGATTTATATTTAAAAACAAATCATCTGTATACTTTTGTGCACTTGGTTTAATAATTTCATCTGCATGTTTTCAGTGGGAGAAACGTTTTGTCATCATCCAAGAGACTTCCTAAACGTAAAGAGCAGTGTGTGAGTGATACTCTGTGGCTGTGGCTGCATGGTCAGAGGAAGGTTACAGCAGGTGTAGCAGAGATGTGAATTTAGATGATGATGCTGAGATTCATTGACTGAATTCCACCATCACATCAACTTTATACCACCTAGAAAAACAGACAGCATAAACAGTGTGCTGTCAGTGTGTAGGATGGAAATCAGCCAGGACAAACATCTGCTCACATCTGGTTGATGTAAGTTGTGTACATCCACAGAGAGCAGCAGGTCAGCTGATCACAGCCTGTACACTAAGAAAATCTACTGCAGCTCTTAGTAGAAATTATTGAGAGTTATGATTATTTTCCCCACACTGAGCCACTAAGACCAATTAGAGGGTTCACACCCGCTGAATCCACTTTAACCTCTGACTGTGCACATTTTCTGTTTTGTTTTGGGGGGGGTTTCAGTTTCACAAAAATAGAAACATCCTCAAAAGAGGGTTCAAATTTATTGATGTCTTTATTATCCAGGTGAGTAAATCCCAAAAAGTTTATTCTGATCATCTGGACGTTTTCAGTGGGAGAAATGTTTGCTCATCATCAGGTGACGTCTTCAGTCTCAGCTGACTGCAGGTTTCAACCTTATAAACAGGACATTTGCATAATGACTGAAACCAGCCCACTGAAGGAACAATGGGCTCAGAGGTCAGTTCACTGATCATTAATATGCAAATTCTCATGACTATATATCAACAACCACTGATCAATGATCATTGAGTCATGATCAGTGACCATGGGAACCCTGGTCATTGATCCACTCTTTGTACACGGCTTAAATCAATGTGGAGATCAATTTATTGACTGGTGGAATTCAGTCAGTGAATCTAAGCATCATCAGCTAAATTCACATGAATCGCTGCTACACTTGATGTAACCTTACTCTGACCATGAAACTACAGCCATAGTGTATCAGTCACACACTGTTCTTTACTTTAAACCCATCACACTACAACTAACTAACCTGCTTATCCTGCACTAGATAGATAGATAGAATAACACACTTAGTTTGACTCAGTTTGTTTTGCAGCAATGTGATAAAACATAATGTCACATAGACACACTTAATATCTGATTAAAAACATGAGGACTTACATGGAAGCTTTAAATTCCCAGTCTATCAAGCACCACTGAGCATCCTTCCCTTTAAATCTAAGCTCTCTTCTTCCTCTCCTGTCCTTCTGTCTTAGTCTTTGGCCATGGAGAAAGATACTACCATATGGCCAGAGGGTGCCTCTCAGCAGCTGCAGGACTGTTTTGACAGGACTAACTGGGATATCTTTGAACATCAGGAATTCAATTCAATTTTATTTACACAGCGCCAAATCACAACAACAGTCGCCTCAAGGCACTTTATACTGTAAGGTAGACCCTACAATAATACATACAGAGAATAACACAACAATCATATGACCCCCTATGAGCAAGCACTTTGGCGACAGTGGGAAGGAAAAACTCCCTTTTAACAGGAAGAAACCTCCGGCAGAACC